TGAACGGTATTCTTAATTTCAACACCTCTTCCTGGAAAGCTGAAGTACCACCCCCTTTTCCAGTGCTGATGGCTCTTAACTCTTCCGTGCCTCATCGTCTCCTCAGTTTGCTCCTGTCTTCGAATCATGTTCCCTCAAACTGCTATTCCTAATGCTCTCACTTCAGACCATTTCATCATCAAAGTTCTGCAGAAGAGCCTCTCAGGTCGTTTCCACAGCCATCTGGCATCTGGCATCATCTGCCTCCAGTACCTGCTCACAGTGTCCTCTCCAACATCGCTGAGGACCTGTGAAAGGCTACACCCCGTAGAGGACGTGGAGAAGTTGCCATTCTCTGTTAGCCGCTACAGATAATAGCTTCATCCAGAAAGCTTTCGGTTGTTTGCTGGGAAGAGGCTTCCTCTGGCTGTTGCCCGCTTCCTTTACCATCCATCTTTCTCTGCCGGTTCTGTGGGCAGTTGAAGCTCTGTTCCTCGGGATGGGTGTCCCCAGGGGCCTGTCACTGGGATTCTGGCGTTTTCAGTCTATATATGCTCTCTGTGAAGTGGTATTTTGTCAAGATCCTTTATTTCTAGGTGGATGACTTCCAAACCGACATCATAAGTTTGACCTCATTCCTGTGCTGTAGGAGAGTTCTCCATGGTTACGGCGATCTAGTTCCCTGTCCCCCAAGGTACCACAAGTTCAAATTTTATTCAGTACCTCAAATTACAGCTTCTGTTAGATGCTGTCAATACATAGATTAATAAAGCACACTTTGTACAGAAAAGGGGAATTGTTCAAGCTGGTAACCACAGAGACAGTGGCTACCCTCTCCCTCCTCCCAAGTGGCCTACCCATGTTGCACGCCACTTTAACACCAAGCTTCTTGAAGGATTTTTTTTTTTTTAATCCTATTACTTCCCCTCCAGAAGATTCTGGTCTTCTCATTGTATATGGTAAAAATAAATAAATAAATAAATAAATAAATAAATAAATAAATAAATAAATAAATAAAGCTGAAGCACTGGCAATATGGCCATTTCTTGCCTCGACTTGCTCTTCCTCTTTTCCAGACGATGGGGCTTCTTCTCATAAGACAAGCAAGGGTTTGTTTGCATGCCTCTCAGCCATTGTCCACACTGCTTCTCCCAACAGAAGTGCTCTTCCTTTTCCATTTATTGCACTCTTACTATCTCCCCAAGATGAGGGGTGTCTCACTAAGTGACCCTGACTAGCTTAGAACTCACTATGTAGACCAGGCAGGCCTCAAACCCGCAGAGATCTGCCTACCTCTCTGCTCTTGAGTGCTGGCACTAACTGTGTGTGCCACCAGGCTTGGCTTAACACTTTCTCTTTTTAAAAGGCTAAACTAAATAGCACCTTAATTTTCTTTTTTTTTTCTGATTCTCAAAATGTTCTAGATGTTTGAATTTCTTTTATTCATGTTACATCCAAATTTTTCATTGACTCTCTGAGCAAGTCAAAGGTGGTGACTGAGTCTTTTAAAGTTACTTTCCCATTGGAATAGTCATTTTCAAGCATTTTGGACTGCTGGCTCATTCCCTTAATATGTTAGCAATCTTCTTATTGTGCCCATAGATTAAAAAAGAAATCACCTCCTGGTTCTATTGGATAATAGTTTGCCTAAATCAATAATACTCATGTCCTAGTAAATTGGTAGTTTTACTTAAAAACATACAAATTGAAGAGAAAGTAATACATTCATTTTATTCTTAGCCTTAATTACTTAGCAATGGGATGTGTGTGCTGGTTAGACATTATGCAACTTAGATCTTAAGTCTTCACATCATTTCCTGTTCCAGCCGATTTCCCAAGCAGCACTTTCTATTGTTATAGCAAATGGCTAAACCCAGCTTTACAAACTACTGTGAACTGCAGTTCTCATGCGGTCTGACACCTGTCGCCGTGCTTTCCCAAAGAAAGTAAACGTCCTGCGGTGTCCGTATGGGTTCCCATTTTGATTTAGGGCCCTTCTCAGCACAGTTTGGGAGCTGTGGTTCAAGAACCGGGCACAACGCACACTGTGTGTGTAGCACCTCCATGAATTGAGTTAGGTCTAATTGCACTTACAGATCAACAGAGAGTGATCTCACAGCTGAAGGTCACAGACAGCATTTATAAAGAATACAAGTTTCTTTCTTTCTCTTTTTATTTGTTTTGTTTGTTTTTGAGACAGGGTCTCACTACATACCTCAGGCTGGCCACAAACTCACAATTTGTTTTAGTCTTCCAAATGCTGGGACTGTAGATGTCTGCCGCTATTACCGGCTAGAATACAGATTTCTTTAATGAGTCTGCAGCACTAGGAGAATTATCATTATCACAATGTCAGGCTTAAATACGAACCAAACAACACTGGTTGGGTACAGTCTTAACTACCATATTTACCCACTTCACTAACTGAATTGAGTTTGCTTGAGTTGTAACAAGAGCAGGAGGTGCAGGTGTCTGCTTGAACTTGTATGTTTTCCTGAGCATTGTGTACATGTCACTCACTAGATCCTCAAAGCGGACTTTAACTGAAGCAATAGAATTTTGTCTACAGAATTCAATAAAATGTGATTTTTAAAGTTAGTCATACATGTCACTACTAACCCCGAGGATTACATTCGCCAAAGTTGATCCTGTCCCTACAACATGGTTTTAACTTACTGTGTCAGGATGAAGAAGGATGGGGTCACTGGTTTTTGTTTTTTGTTTTTTTTCCTTCATTGTTATTCCATTTATTTTTCATGCTTTATAAAGATTTCTCTCCTCACTAGAAATACTTTAGAATTTTGTGAAGTCACTTGAAAATGAGCAAAAGGATTTTTTCATCTCCTACGTTACAAGCAATCCTGATTTTCCTAGCCCTAGCCTTAAACAGAAATTTCATTAGAAAACAACATTTTCCAAAATCCATATCCTTGGTTAATTTATCATCTGCCTATCAGATCCTGGATAAATTGATGGCACTTAATATTCTCTCATTCTTGGATGGAGACTGAGAATCTTAATATGAAAAAACACACCAGATGCTGAAGCTGTTACTATGGGATCTCAGACTGCAAAATTAAAAAAAAAAACACAACTTGTAATTTATTACAAAATATTCAGTGTCTACCATTCTATAGACATAATATCTAAATGATTGCATTAATGGATGCAGCAGTCGAGGATTAAATAACTGCTGTTAATAATAGGGATAGCAGCAGAGTGTGGCTAACTTCCTTGTTCACTGTTCTCAGCAATGACGGTTTTTATCTTGTGTTTCTGTCTAGCTTTTCTGTTATGCCACATTCTCTCCATCCTTGCTTTCCTAATTCAGAACAATACCTCTGCTCCTTAACTCTCGTAAACTTCTGTTTCTTAAGAGAAAATATAAGGAGTCTCCCCCATTCCTCCTTAACTCTACATGCCACTTTTTAAAATATTCCCTTGGTCTGGGGAGATGGCTTAGTGTGTAAGAGCACTTGCTGCCCAAGAGCAAGGACCTGAGTGGAGATCCCCTGCATCCATGTGAAAGTCACGTATGGCTTCATGTGCCTGCAACCCAGCACTCCGGGGGCAGAGAGAAGTGGATCCCAGGAGCTCACTGGCCACCCAGCCTAGCAAAATGTTGAGTATCAGATTCAGTGAGACATTTTCACAAGTAAGGCAGAGGGTGATAGAGCCAGACCCCTGGCATCGTCCTCTGACCTCCACACTCGTGTACACACGTACACGCACACAAAGAAACAGACACAGACAGACAGACAGACAGACAGACAGACACACACACACACACACACACACACACACACCAAAAAAAAATCACTTTGTCATTAGTCTCCATTTTAGACTTTTGTGTCATTTCTCTTACACTGATATTCCATATATGTTCAGCGGTCAAGGCCAAAAAAGTTTATATTTCAAAAAACATATAAAAACTAGAGTGCTTTAATGCCTACTGTTATATACTCAGCATAACATTTTCATATATGTGTATAACTACATAGATACAGGTACAGACCATTGCATTTTATGTACATCTCTGCATAGATACAGGTATAGACCATTATATTTTGTTCATATTTGCTAGGCCCCTCACTGATAGTCTTACTCCAGAATTTACTTTAGTTATGTATTTGAGAAGTTCCTTGTCTCCTGTCCTACTGTCCATCTTAGATCAAGACCTTTCTTAACACATTCTCCTACCTCTGTTTTCTTCTCCCAATCTGCTTAACACACTTTGCCGTTAATTCTGAATCAGAAAGCTCCACTGAGTTCTTTGTATTTTAAGTGTCCTCTCAGGCTTCCATTACCTAAGGAAGCCCTGCTACCCCCAGCCAGTTCCCTGCAGGCTCTGTGCCTGTATTTTCCTCTCAGAGATCTATATCCCCAATCTTCACCTTGCACTATCTTCTCTGCCCTGCGTGTGGTCATGTCATACCTGATACCTGATAATGTAGTTATATATACTTGTCCTACCAATCTGCTCCCTTATCAGCCTTCTCCATGCAATAAATTCCATCCATGCATCCATGCATCCATGCATCCATCCATGCATCCATGCATCCATCCACCCATCCATCCATCCATCCATCCATCCATCCATCCATCCATCCATAGTTTATTATTTAATTGTGGGTTACTTAGCAACCAAGGCTATCAATGATCCAGCTCTATCACTCTCTGCCTTACTCTCTTGTGACAGAGTCTCTTCCTAAGCCTGAAGCTCACCATCTTGGCTAGGCTGCCTGGCCTGCCTAAGGCTAGACCATTATCAAAAGGTATTTGCTGAATTGTGTTTGTGATGGTTTTCATTCATACATATATAAACATTTTTAGTCAACTGAGTTGGACTTCACTTTCTGTCCTTTCCTATCTGGTATAACTATTGACAGTCTTATCTCTGTGAAAATGGAGGAACAGTCTTTCTTGTCCCTGATGCTCCTAGATTGCGTAGGTAGGTTGACAATGGACTTTCAACCAATCCACTTTTGCTGAATGGCTGAATTCTTCATTTTCTTCTACAGATGCAATATAATGTTACCCAAGTTTGTCATGAATAACCAGAAATTGTGACCAGCATCTGAGGGGGAACCTGAATTGCCTATGCTCTCCTATATATTTCTCAGGTATTTAATATCACTTTCACAGCCAGGATTTCTAAAGCCAAGAGTATTTGAGTTAACTGGTTACCCCACCATTTAAATAACTGCTCAAATAACTGCTTAGTTCTTGTTTGTTAATAAGACATCCAAACACCAGACAAAGACAGATCTAAATGTCAGAAACCATTCTAAAACATTTGTCTACATGTTGAGTAATTTTAGTATCAATTTGGGATTTTTTCCTACAAAATTCCTTTATATTATTCCTTTATATGTATATGTGTATATAAATAGAGATTAGTAGACATATGAAGATTTAAAACTGAGCTCATACATTCAAGTCAGTAGCTTGCAATTGGCTAATATATAATATATACCTAATATATAAAGATGCCAGCTGGGTTTGTAGGAGAATACTGTTACCTATCTATTGCTGTGACGAAACACCATGACCAAGGCAACTTATGAAAGAAAATTTCCATTTGGGGTTCATGGTTCCAGGGGGTTAGTTGTCATGAAAGGGGACATGGCAGCAGCAGGCAGGCAGACATTGAACTGGAGCAGTAACTGAACTCACCTCTCATCCACCAGTAGAAGGCAAAAAAGGGCTAACAGGAAATGGCCTGGGCCCATCTTCAGTGACACATCTCTTTCAACAAGGCGACACTTCCTAATCCTTCCCAAACAGTTTCACCAACTTGGGACCAAGCACTCAAATATATGAGCCTATGGGGGGGGGGGGCTAGTCTCATTTAAATCATCACGTTCTACTCCATGGTCCTCATAGGCTTGCAGCTATACTATAATGCCAAATGTATTTGGTCCAGCTTCAAAAGTCCCCATAGTCTTTCACAGTATCAATACTGTTTAAAAGTCCAAAGTCTTTTTGAGACCCAAGGAATTCTCTTAACTGCAACCCCCTATAAAATCAGAAAGCAAACTCCATATTTTCAACATACAACAGCACAAAATACAGATTACCATTCCAAAAAGGAGGAATAGGGGCACAGGGAGGAAATACTGTACCAAAGCAAGACTGAAACCCAGCAGGGCAAACTCCAAATCCTGTAGTGCGATGTCAAACGGCTTAGATGACTCTGCCCTTCCAGCTTTGCTGACTGTGGCACGCTTCTCTCTCTTTTGCTGATTCCACTCCCTATGTGCAGCATTCCTTGGCAAGTATCCCATGGTTCTGGCACCTTTAACAGTTTAAGGTCTCGAACATAATCCAGGCCTCACTTTTACAGCTTCATGAAATGACCTCTGTGGGCCTCTGTACAGGAACTCCCCTGCCACACAGCTGACCTCAGTGGCTCGACTTAACCACAGAGGAAAACCCCACAACCCTTTCACTCCTGCATCCTTCTTGACTCTAAAGCCAGAACCATGTGGCTGATGCTGCCAAGTTCTGCTGCTTGCTTGGGATGGAACCGTCCTCCTCCTTGAATTACATTTGCACAAGCCTTGATTTTTTGTTGCTCTTTGGGAACAAAGAATTTCTTAGGCCTTTTCACAAGTTGCAAGATTAGTTGGATGAGGTCTTGCCCTGAGGGCACCATTCCCTTAATTCCATTTTTCCTTATCTCTTCCCACACAAATCATGGTTCCAACATTAAATTTCCTGGTGCTCCTTTTCTCCTCAAACTGTATTTTGTATTTCTTTTTGCTCTGCTTGCTCTTTTTATTGTAGACCTGAATAAGAGTGATCACTAATAACCACATGACAGAGTTAATATTAGGCTGTCTTGAAATCCCCTTGGCCAAAGAAATTTGTCCAAAACAGTCCAATTTAGTCGCAAGCAGATTCTTAGAACAAGGACAAAAAGCAGACACATTCTTTGCCAAAATATCACATGAATAGTCTCTAGCTCAGTTACTAATATTGTTCCCCTCTGAAACCTCTTCAACTGGGCTTCCATAGTCCACACTGGTCTCAATATTATTGTCTTCAAGTTCCTACTAGCATAGCCCTTTAAGCTCCCCATAGAGTGTTCAACTGGCCCAAAATCCTAAGATCTTCCACATTCCTTCAAAAACCATTATGATCAAGCCTGTTACTACTAGTATACTTCCTGGTACCAACTTCTGTCTCAATTGCTTTTCTATTGCCATAACAAAACATCATAATCAAGGCAACTTACAAAAAAAAAAACTTACTTAATTTGGGGCTCATGGTTCTGGATGATTAGTCCATGCATGGCAGTGGGCAGGCAGGCGTGCCATTGGAGCAGTAGCCAACAATTTACATCTGGTCCATCAGCACAAGGCACAGAAAAAGGCGCTAAAAGGGAATGGCATAGGCTTTTGAAACCTCCAAACCTACCCCCAGTGACACACCTCTTCCAACAAGACCACACCTTCTATTCTTTCCCAAATAATTTTACCAACTGAGGACCAAGCATTCAAATATAGGAGCCTTTGTGGGGCATTCTCATTCAAGCAACCACTTTATTCAATATAAGAGACAGGGAGACCGCTTAGTGGGTGAAGCACATGCAATCCAAGAAAGAGAACTTGAGTTTGGATCCCTAGCACCCATGTAATTAGCAGTCAGGCAGGTGGCCTGCCTGTAATCCCAGGACCCAAGTGGGGCCAGGGCACTCCAGCATCAATCTGGCTAGCAATATTAGAGAAATGCAAGATCCTGGTCACCAAGAGACTGCCTCATTGTGTAATATGGAAAGTTGTCAAGGAAGACACCCCACGTCAACCTCTGGCCTCCACTGTAGACGTGCTTACATGCACACACACATGGACAGGTGTATACACATGGGTACTCATGCACACACACACACACACACACACACACACACACACACACATACACACACAAATCAATGTTGAAATTATTATGGAAATAGTAAGGTACCTAATAGTAAAGATAAGGCTAAAAGAAAAGATAAATTATCAGTAGCCTGTTTCTATGGATAATATGAAGCTCTGATCATGAATGCTGGCCACACAATAAACATGTGATGATGAGTCCATATTGCACTTGAACCAATGTACCTACAGAACCTGCTAGTAATTTTTAATTATAGATGAATTGTAGTATACCAAAAACAAAACAAAAAAAAGCAGCATGGTAGACCATCCTGAACGACGCCATGGCCTTTGCCTGAGGCATCACGGGAATTCTTCTTTGCTGTGCCTGTTAGGAAAGAACACTTAAGGCAGCAGAAGCCTAAGCTGGGACTGGTGAGGCTGGAAACTTGACCCCAAAAGCTGGCACTGCAGCTGGCCGACTCTGCCAGGAAACTGCCCAGGCTGGGTGGAGACAGCCAGGAAGTTGCTTGGCCGGTCCTCAGGGGAAAAGAAGCATGGTGGAGCCAGGAAGGACTGTCACCAACATCTCTACCTGATCCACTAAGCAAATGTGGAAAGGACCTTGGTAAATGCCAGCAGGGAGGATAGCATGGTGCCCCCTCGTCATAGAAGCCTTCCTGGCATCGAGAACACATCACGCCAGACACTCAATGGCTGTTTGTGTTAGAATTGTGAAAAGCCTGATTGGTTGGGAGTAAAGCTGGAGCTGTTGAATGTTTCAATTTATTGAAGTAATAAGAATTAGCTGTGCGGTCTCATGACAGTTTACTGGCAAAATTCTCCTTGAACTGGTTTGGATCTGTTTGTAACCATTGTGTGTAGGCTGAAAACTGGATGGTGATTAAACAGAGCTTCCTGGTTTTGTGGAAAACAAAAGCAGTCAGAGAATGGCCAAGGGTTGCCTCAGGGTAATAGTGGGTCTCAGAGCTGTGGCTTCCTTTCCAAATCTGCAGCCGCTGAAGGCAGCTGATGTAAGCTACAGCTGGGCTCCTGAGCCGGCTCCAGCCAAACACTGAGACAATTCCTGGTGACATGTACACCAACAATCTAGATAACTGAGAAGCTCTTAGGGAGTAGATGCCACTTCTGCTTTACCTCCTGCAGAGCCCACAGACTGAGGGGAGTTTTCTAATGAAGACTGTCTCAAGCATTTTGTTGTCTCATCATATAACCTCACCCACTTTATGTGGCAGTATTATTATTTTATTGTGTTATAGATGAGGAAACGGGTTCAAAAATTCAGCTAGAGTCCGCTATAGAACCAAGCTGCCTCCTTTCCAAGCCCATGGTGTTTATCAGTTGTGTGCCTCGCTGACCGTGTATGATGGAAGAATGAATCTGGGCGTCGCCTGTATTCGGAATGGGCAGTTTGGGTCATCACTGTTGTTACCTCCCTAAAGAACTGGGAGAGCACTATGGGCAGAGGGGATGCCGCTGCTAATTTGAGAATGGGCTCAGTCTAGTGGTGGCTCACCTGCCAGAATTCTGAGACCGGTATAAAATTTCTCTGACTCCTTTTTTTCCATATTAATAAACTTTAATCTTCAAAATATCTTTAGAGTAACATAAATATTATGAAAGTTGTGGCTCCCACATGGTTTATCCTACTATTCAACATTATATATTCACAGCCTCTGTTGATAAACCAATGGTAATACATTATTCTTAACTAGGGATAATATTTCATTTAGATTTTCTTGTGTGTTTGTTTTTTCCTGTTGGAGAACACCACATTTTATTTAGTTGTAAATTATCCTTAAGATTATCCTGCCCAAAATTGTTTCTCATACTTTTTTTCTTTTGATGACCTTGACAGTCTTGACCTAATTAGATATTTATAGGATGTTGGTCTGTCTGTCCTTTTCTTCACAATGAGAATGGTATGATTTTTAGGAGAAAGATCTCCTGAGACAAAAATCTCATTTTCATCATGTTGCCCCACATCACATGTGCTCAGTACCTCCTGTTGATGAGCTGGTTACACTGCTACATTGACCTTGGTCACCTAGTAGAGATAGTGCTTGCCTTGTGTCTTCACTATAAACGTGTTCATTTTCTCCCTCAACATGCTGTGTCCTCTGGAAAGAATGGACTGTATGCAGCCCACACTTTAGAGAACTGAACTGTCAATACAAGTCACTCGGCATTCCTCTGCAGGGGAGATCTGGTTGTTCTCCATTCATTCATAAACTTACAAT